CCTGCGTCGGGGCTCTACTTGGGATTCTCACTCTCTCTCTCTCTCTCCCCCCCCCCCCCCCCGCTTGTTCTCTTTCTCCCCCCCCTCTCAGAATAAACTTTAAAAAAATAAAAAAATTAACTTTTAACCTTGGTATAATTTTAGACTCGCATAAAAGTTGCAAAGATGGTGTACAGACTCCTCATACAGCTCCTCCAAGTTTCAGTTCCCCCATATCATCATCTTGCTTTACTGTGTGGTACATTTGTCAAAGCCAAGAAGCCCCCCATGGATATATTACCAATCACAGAACTCTGGACTGATCTGGATCTCATCAAACCGGTTTCCCTACTCATGCTCTTTGTCTGTTCCAGGATCCAACCTGCTGCATTAAGTTCCTGTGACTCCCTACTCATGCATTCCTCGGTTTGCATTTTGAATCATGCAAATATATTCTCCATTTAAAAATAAATAAAATGAAAGGAAAAAAACCCAAACAAACAAAACCTCCTAACATCCCCAAACAGCAAAATAATCAGGAATTCTACTGATGCCAAAACCTTCACCTCCCACCCTCTCACCCCCGGAAGGTCCTGGTGGCTGCAGAAGTGGGGGGAGGGAGGGGGGGGGTTCATCCACGCTTCCGTTTCTTCCAGTGGGCAGGCCGTGCCTCCCGCAAAAAGCTTTCCTGAGATAGAACTCATTGCTCTCTGTCCTGGTCCCCCGGGAAGCTGCATGAATCTCTCTTACACAGCACTTATCACTGCTTGCCTTGTTTCATAGTTATTTATGTATGTGTCTGTCTCCCCACGGGGACCGGGGACCGTGAGCTTCCAGAGGAGGGAACAGGGTCTGTGTGCCCTCTGTCTCCCCTCTCTGGTACCTGACAGGATACTTTGACTCCTATGCGCTTGCCGAATTGACATCTTAGCCCCTTGATGTCAGGAGGAGGAGCAGGGGTATGTTTAGGGAGTTCAACATGGGTTGCTATGGGTTGGTGACCCACAATTCAAAATGAGAACAAACAGTAATGGTAATTGCAACGATGATAGTAATTACAACCAGAGGATTTTTTTATGGGCGAACAATCCAAATTTAGCTCTTTCTCAGATGATCTCGTTAATTCCTAACAATAGCTCTATGAAGTAGGTATTATGATGCCCATTGTATAAATGAGAAAAACCAAGGCTCAGGGGGAGACGGAGTGATCCCCCCTACAGGGTCCGCAGTGCGGCTGGGATTCTCACTCAGGACACTGTGACGCTACACCATACTGAATTTTTCATTTTTGACACTCGGCTGATAAGACCAAGGCTCAGACAGGTGACGTAACCTGCCCAGGGCCACCCACCTCGTAAGAGGCAGACCTGAGGTCTGAACCCAGGTCTGACCGACTCCAGCCTTGACCACACTGTTCCCAAAGACCCATCTCAGAGCCCTGAGGTTTGGTCATGGGAGAGGCACATGGGACTTCTGCGTGGGACAGGGCCCCAGAGGTCCCCCAGCCTCAGTCCCCGATGGCTCCGCCCAGCCCTGCTCACCTGGCACATGAGGACCAGAGGCTCCCGGAACTCAGCCTGGCAGATGGCGCAGATATCGCCGGCCTCTGTGCATTGCTGCCCAGTGGCCCGGACTCCGTAATTCTGCTTAAAGGAGGAGACAGAGGTAAACTCAGCTGCGGACCCTCACCGGACACCCGCAGAAGCACTGTGAGCTGTTTCCAGCTCGTGGCTCCTTCGTCTTCAGTTGGGGCCATTTGAAGTCAACTCACCTGAGAGGTGCAGAGAAGCTTCAGGGCTTTTCTGACTCCGCCCACACGGCCACAGATGTCGAAAGACTGAAAAGAGAGCAGAGTGATGGCTGAAAAGCCTCCAAGGGTTGTTCAGGACCTCTCTTACCACTCCTGAACCATCCCCACTGACCCCTCATCTTTGACTGTGGACGTTTCCAGGGCACTCCGTCCCACTTGGAGCTCCTCGTTTCTACCAGTTTTGTTTGGCATTCGTCTTGCTGCCTTACGTCAACAGTTTCCCTTGCTTCCTGGACCAGGAGAGTGAATACATGGCAGGCATACTGCATTTTCCCCCTGCCAAGCCCAGCACAGGCATTGCTAATTGATCACAGCACTCTTCTTCTGAGCCAGCACTCCAGTCAGCCACTGCCAGTGGATCAGGATCGGCAGGCAACAGAAGTCCCCGGTGGCTGATGGGGCACGGACTGCCTGGCTAGTCCTGCTGGGGGGAAGGGAAGGGGAGGGGAAGGGAGGGGAGGGGAGAGGAGGGGAGGGGAGGGGAGGGGAGAACATGTGGATTCCCCCAGGATTCTCTAGAGCCAGAAACAGAGAAGAAAGAAGAAAGAGGAGGATGTCTTTATGCCTGGGGTGGGGAGGGAAACCTGATTTGTACCCGTGATGGAAAGAGAAGCCCTGTATCCTGACTGTAGGCATGAGGGTGTGCGATTGAAGAAGAATGGAAACAAGTCTGGGGGGCGCATCTGGGGTAAGAGGTCCAGGCTTTGGAAGCCGACTGCCTGGCTTCGACCCTCCATGATCTGTAGCTGAGGGACGCCGAGCAAGTTGCTGCTCTCTGAGTCCCCATCTCCTCACCCATAACACGGGAGTCATAATGGAAATGTGTGAATGGAGAGCACACGGTGAGCTTTATGGGCAAGAAATGAGGGTGGATTTAACCGCCAAAAGGAATGAAGTATTGATATATGCTACGACGTGGATGGACCTCAGACACATGATGCTAAAGTGAAAGGAGCCAGACACGGAAAGACCACACAGTGTAGGATTCCATTTATATGAAGTGTCCACAATAGGAGAGTCCACAGAGACAGAGAGCAGACTGCCGGTTGCCAGCGGCTGGGGGAGGGTAGCAGGCAGGAACGGGAGGGACGGCTTAATGGGTATAGGGTTTCTTTTGGGGGTGATGAGAATGTCTTAGAACTAGACGTGGAGGGGGCATAGCCCTGTGAAGCGGCTCGGTGTCACTGTACCCCGTAAGATAGTTAGTGGTTAATTTTGTGTTGTGTGAATTTTACCTCCATTAAAAGAAAAAAAAAAGATGCCAAGCTCCCCACTTGCCACCCGCCCCCCAAAACCCAGCAAATGCATGGATCCTCTTCGGGCCAGCCCTCCAGTCCCTCGGGCCCACCTCACCTTGCAGAGGCTGTAGAGAACAATCAGGACCCCTCCTAGGAAGTAGCTGTTGGAAGAGTCATCCCCCATGATGTATTTGTACCACAGCTGGATGGGGACAAGTGATCGGAACAGCTGGCTCAACTCCTCGATGACCAGATAGAACTTTCCCTGCAACCGCACAGAAAGCATCAATTATTATTAGCTGTAAAGACCCAAAGGAGGCAGCCGGGGGTCCCCCAGCCTGGGCAGTAATGACGTTCCAGGTCACAAGCAGGCCATTAATCAGCTTTGGAAAGCACTCAGACCGGCTCCTAATGGGTTTGCGATATGGCCGGGGAGACGTGGCCCCTGCCCGCCGGCCTCACCCGCTGCCCACCAGCCCTAAGGACCAGAGCTCTGAGGACTGCATTTCATGGAGGGAGAAACTGGACACTCCTGTTGGGGGTTGCAGTGTGGGTCACTCCCTTGTGCCTGCTGTGGCTTTGGGGGCACAGTCCCTGGCCCTGCACACAGATCGCCCTTGTCTCGAGGGCGGACTCGGGCATCTCGGGTGCCTGCCCTCAGGGGATGGACCACAGGAGGCAGGTAAGGGCGGGTCTAGAGGTGGAGGAGGATGGGTGTTCTCAGGGTGTTCTCATTCCAACTCCACCCCATACCGTCCTCAAGGAGGCAGGATGGCTTCTGGGCAAAGAAGAGACACTTGGGATTCAGACGGGGCTGGGTTTGAAGCTTACGTCACTGCCAGTTCGTGAGCCCCAGCTTCCTTATCAACAGAACGGGAACCACAACTCCTATCTTACAGGGTGGCTCTGAAGGTTCCCGGAGAGAAATGGGAAAAGCGCTTAGCACTGTGCCTGGCACAGAGCAGTACTCCTCAAATTCTATTTCCCTTCTTCCCTCTGTCCTTGGACAAGTCCCTCAAGCTTTCTGTGGCCTGTGCTATGAAGTGAGATGAAAATAACCCCACCCTGCTGGGGATAATAAAGTTAAACACACACCTACTTATGACCCAGCAACTCCGCTTCTAGGTATGTACCCGAGAGAAATGAAAATATGCATCTGCTTGTACACAAACGTTCATACAGCAGCTCTATTCATAATACCCCCAAACTGGAAATAGCCCAAATGTCCATCAGTGGAAGAATGGATAAACAAATTGTGGTATATCTGTACGATAGAACGCCACTCAGCAATAAACATGACTAAATGACAGATATACACAACAGTGTGGATGAATCCCTCGTGCATTAGGTCCGGTCGAAAGGGACTGTTGATAAGAGAAAATATACTGTCCAATTCTCATTTCTATGAAATCCTGGAACAGGTTAACACTAACCTGCAGTGACAGAAATCAGATCAGGGGCTGCCTGGGATGAGGAGGAGGGGACTGCAAGGGGCATCTAGGAATTTGGGGGAGCAGATAGAGCTATTTTGCATTGCAATTGGGAGGGTGATTACACAAGTGTATGTGCCGGCCAAAACTCACTGAAATATATGCTTCAGATCTGCATGTTTTGTATTTAAGTTACACCTCAGTAAAGCTGGTTAAAACAAACATAGAAAGAAGCAACCAACCCTGCCCCAGGCATGCATAGCCTTAAAAAGGTGAATAGTATTTGCTCCAGAGATCCTAGTTTTAGGAGTTTATTCTAACAAAATAATCAGGGATGTGTGTTGAGATGTGCCAGCAGGAACAGGTGCTGCAGCTGTCTTTGGTTCTTTGTAACAGTACAAACAGAGACAAGTAACAAACTAAATGCACCGTGAGAGAGTCTGGTTATGAGAGAGATCTATAATGGAAAGCTGAACCGCCTTTCAAACATTATCCTGAAAAAGAGCAACTTTACCACAAAGAAACCCAGCACATAATACCCCAAGTGATCAAGGTTTACTCCAGCAGCAGTAAGTTAGTTATATGGACAGGCTGGACCCCAGCTGTGAGGCACTGAGAAGAACATAGTATCGCTTTTGTGTTTATTCTGCAACAATTTATAAAACCTCAATGGAGTCATGAACTAACAAGCGACACATCCAAATTGACGGGCATTCTTTTTCTTCTTCTAATTATTATTGTTTAAAAATTTTTAAAAATGTTTATTTATTTTTGAGGCAGAGAGAGACAGAGCATGAACAGGGGGAGGGGCAGAGAGAGAGAGAGAGAGAGGGAGACACAGAATCCAAAGCAGGCTCCACGCTGCCAGCGCAGAGCCCAACACGGGATTCAAACCCGTGAAACCATGAGATCATGACCTGAGCCGAAGTTGGACGCTTAACCGACTGGGCCACCCAGGCGCCCCTAATTATTATTGTTTTAAATTAATTAATTTATTTTTGAGAAAGAGAGAGCAAGAGTGAGCGAGCATGAGCAGGGGAGGGGCAGAGAGAGAGAGAGACAGAGAGAGAGAGACAGAGAGAGAGAGATGAGAGAATCCCAAGCAGGCTCCACCCTGTCAGCGCAGAGCCCGACGGGGGGGGGGGGGTGGGGGGGGGGGGCTCAGTCTCATCAACTGTGAGAACATGACCTGAGCCAAAGTCAAGAGTTGGATGCTTAACCGACTAAGCCACCCTGGTGCTCCAAATCAAGTGGCATTCTATAAAAAGAAATGTCCGGCACTCTTCAAAAGCCCCAAGGTCACAAAAGACAAAGATAAGATCAAGGCATTGTCAGATTGGAGAGGATTAAGGAGATATGACAGATGTATGCAAAGTGGGATCTTGGATTCACTAATCCTAGACAGCGAAAATGTTATTAGTGAGACAAACTGGCAAAATCTGATAAGATTTGTAGTTCAGTTAACAGTGATGACAATGATATTAATTTCTTGGCTTTGCTAATTGTACTGTGGTTGCACTAGATGTTAACATTAGGGGGAGCTGGGTGAAGGGTATGTGGGAACTCTCAGTACTATTTTGTAAGTACAACTCGTAAGTCTAAACTTTCAAAATTAAAAGGTAAAAAGTCATCCTGGTGAAGACTATCTATTCACTCAAGGAAATGTTCACATTATAGTCCCCAGTGGAAAGGATACAGAATGAAGAAACACTTGTTTCCTTTGTGTTTTCCTGTTTTTTCCATTTTTTTTTTTATATTGAGCATATGATATGTTTACATCGGAGGGGTAAAAAGGTTACAAAAAGATGTTGCGTATCCATCAAATGGATGATGTCTGAGATGAGGGTAGAAACTTTCTATCCATCTTGCTAAATTCCATCTTGTTGGGCCCAGGAAGGGGACCTCTTGAAGCAGATGTGCCCACATCTGCTAAGGACCCAGGAAGGGCATCCAATTGTCCATTCATCCCAATGCCTGACCTTTGTGACTGTTTGGCTGAGTCCTTGTTGTGAGGGTCCTCTAGCCCCTCTAGACTCCCACCAGCCCCTGACCCATGGATATATTCCCTTCTGGAGAATGCTGGTTCCCTCTGTAGCCTTTAGGAAGGCAGAGGTGACTGGGGAGCAGAGATGTGGGGGATGGCCACCATGTTTGTTTTACATGCCAACGGCATGGTGGAAGAGGGAACAATGGGACAGCTCAGTGGATGGCTAGGGCTACTCAGGCTCTGCCCTTGTCCTGACAGCAGCCCCCAGGCTCTGCTGAATACCCATGCGTGTCTGAGCTTCGTTTTCCTGCACCACCTCAACCTCAGCTGCCCTATGCTTCCCTCATCACATCTAACTGTTCTCACCCAGGGTCTCTCAACTACTGCACGTTCCATCTCATTCTGGGTCAACACTCCAGTCTCTGCCAACATCTAACCTTAATTTGCTCTTGTCACTCCTCCTCGAATTCAGTGAACCCGCAGAGAATTGTCCTTTCCTTCTGTCCTCTCCTCCTTCTCTCCAATCCATGCATCCATTGATGTATCCACCCATCTTTCCTTTCTCCCTTCCTTCCCTCCTTCTTTCCCTTCCATCCACCAATTCCCTCCCCCCACCTTCCATTACTGGACACCCACTGTGTACTAGACACAGCACTAGGCTCTGGTGATACTAAGATGACTAAGACCTTGTCCCTGTCTTCAGGGAGCTCACTACCTAATGAGTAAGACAGACACTAGGCAAATTATTATAATATAGTGTGGTACAAGTTTGCCAGAGCTGACCATGAGGGAGCCCCAGAATCGAGGTATGGGGGTGGGAGTGGGTGTAGAGATGTGATTAGGCAAGTCTTCTAAGAGAAGCTATCATTTAAGCTGATCATGGGGTGCCTGGGTGGCTCAGCTGGTTAAGTGTCTGACTTCAGCTCAGGTCATGATCTCACCATTGTGGGTTTGAGCCCCGCGTTGGGCTCTGTGCTGACAGCTCAGAGCCTGGAGCCTGCTTCAGATTCTGTGTCTCCCTCTCTCTCTCTCTCTCTCTGCTCTTCCCCTGCTCTCTCTCTCTCTCAAAAATAAATAAACATTAAAAAAAAAGTTCACTTAAGCTGATCTTGAAAGCCTTGCTACCCAAGGCTTGTAGTTCCTCAATGGACAGCGTCACCACCATCTGGGAGCTTGTTAGAAATGCAGAATCACAGACCTCACCCCAGACCTGCTGGGACACAATCTCCGTTTTCAGTTTCCCAGGTGATCTCTGTGCACATAAAGTTTGAAAAGCACGGTTTATTGAATAAGAAGCAGGATGATGAAGGAAATGTGAGGAGGATGAGGGAAGACAGGTGTTCCAGAAGCCCCATGGTGACGGAAAGGACAGTCAGTGCCCCCCCCCCCCGCCCGCCCCCACCCTGTGCCGTCTCGGTGAGCAGCCTCCTGCTCTGTCGGTCTGGCCTCACAGTGGGTGAGGACACAGCCACCTCATGAAAGGTCCTGTGTCCCTGTGTCTCTGGAAGACTCCGCAGGACGGCATCGGGCTGACTCTGGGGACAGGCTCTGCTGTCTCCTCTCTGGCAAATCTTGCACAACCAGCCTGGCTCGGTGGTTAAGAATGCTGCGTTGGAAGCCAGACTGCCTGGGGTCAGGCCCGGTCACCCAGCACCTTCTTACTACTGCTTTCATTCAGCTTTGCTCATCGTCTTTGGATCTCCAACTCTCAGGCTCTGTTAGCCACGGGATGGTTCCCACTTGCCCACGAGTGGGTCTGGATCAGAGGTTGACAACACTTTTCCACAAAGGCCCAGACTGTGAATACTTTGGCTTTGCAGGTCATACAGTCTCTGTCACAACTATTCC